ACAACATTCCCCATGAAATAAGACACCGCAGAATAATGCTGATAATTCCGGCAACGGGAAAACTCAACGTCGTTACATAATCAATTTGGTGTCATCATAGAAAATACGTGGGAAGTGGTGTCGCGATGGTGAGCATACTGAACTATGAACCCAGTGATATTTAAAGCGGTTTTGGGCGCCCTTTCACCAACCACACTGACCAGCGTGGTCAATTATGGTCAAACAGATCCCTGCGACCGGCAGGCACCGTGTCAGGAGGCCTTCGTCCAGCAGTGGATTAACAAAGGGCTGTAAATTATCACTAAGTGTTGAGCACAAAGAAATCCAGTATACTGCATTTTTTTCACATCTCATTTGCAATAGGACCATGTCTTACCACGAGCTCATTGCCCGGTAATACATAAACTTTACTGAACAAGTGAATACCTGTGCGCACACACGTTCAACAAACCGACATGAAACGTTTAATTAGCCTTGTTCACACCTTTGAAAAGATCAGCCTCTATGGCCTTCTCTCACTTGGTATGAAAAACAAAATAATAGAATTGATAACGCAATCGTTTCACCGAGTCGTGAATAAATTACCACGAATGGCGGCATTCATGCGGGCGGGCGGCAGCACCTAGGGAGGGAGAAAGCGACGGCGATAAGAGAGGGGGAGGATGTGGACAGCTCCAGATGCACGGGATGTGCAGTGTCACGGCGGTGCCGAATTTGGAGTGATGGACACAGAATGAAGCTGACCCTTTATGCGTTCCGTCTCGACCGAGGCGTGGTGACGTGTGAAAGCCATCGTGATGTCCCGCATCGCCCTGCCCAGCATCGCTTATTCTGCTTCCCTGGACCGACTGGCTCTCCGTCCTCTGTCTGGCTTTTATTTAAAGAAAGAAATCCCATACAACAATATTATCTGTGACTACGTTAATACGATACAGTGATGACTGGTTGTCTTTAATGCGTCCGAGGGATGAGTAATTTTTATTTTTCAAAATGTTTAATCAGATTTCATCTCAAGGTATTTAGATGCGTCGATGGCAATTTCACATGTTTGATTTTTAGTTCTTAAATTTATCGCCATTTAATTTTTTAAAAAATCTTTATCCTTCAAAATTGAGTTGTCATTGACCACGATGATTTTGAACTTAAATCAATTAAAATGTTGTTAATGTGTAAAGTCTGATCTTAAAACAGATTAATTTAATTATTATCAATACAATAATTAATGTGTCATCGTTTTTAACAAAACTTTTTAGTTTAATAATGTTGGCTTTAATGAGCATAATGTGTATTTCATAAATCATGTAATCGTGTATTCTGTTAAGTGTCTGTGATCTTCAGGATTATTTCTTGGTAGGGCCTCAGTTTTTATTGCTACTAGGAGGACATTTAAGTACAGCATCTACAGAAACTCCACACACACACACCATTTGAAGAACATGCAGACTCTACTGGTGGCCTTTGTTAACCTACTTCCGGTACGATTTGCAGATGCCTTGTTGCCCAGCAGGTGACAAGGCATCTGCAAAGAGGAGAACATGCAAACTCAAAATATACAGCAGGCATCAGGGTCGGGGTCAAACCCACGACGACCTGTATACCAGGCGAGGGAGTTAACATCTCGGCACCGTGGCACATATTAGTTAGAATGTGTTAGTTGGTCGAGATTAATTACTTGAACGGTGACTATATAACTGTTTTACGCTGTCTGTGTTGTTTGTTGCGGCCCAACTGGCATCGTTTGAATACCTTTAAACAAGTCTTCTGTTGAATAGGACCACTGTATGAATACCATACATGTGAGAGGCCTCTGATTCACACACAAAACACTCGACAGTTGTGCCAACAGGGGGTGCTGCCTTACTGGGCAGGTTTTACAGAGTTGAATCAAACTTTCACACGCAGTTTTAAGCTGGCATTGTACAAAATAAAAACCAATAAACACAATGGACTTTGATTTAAGAGCACGCAAAAGACTAATTGAACAGAGTTGTGGAGTCCTTTATCTATCCACACTGTCAGCCATGGGGGTTTGTATGTATGTTGAACTTCTTTCGCACCGTACGTAGCCAACCGTGCTAATCGGAGGTGTGGTCAGTGCCTTTTGGTGAAGGGTTCTGCCCATTACGGCTTCAGACGCCACTGATGTTAGTTGTGACTGGAAGTCGAACTCGGGTCACCAGGTTCATAGAGTGGTGTGCCAACCACTGCGATTCCGCTTCTCCCCTTAAACACAAAACAAATGTCCCTAAAGCTATATATCTATGTGCACCATTGCAAACTCACTTTTTCTCTTGTCAATGACAGTCCATATTATGTTCACAATTTGAATATAAACGGAGCTTAATTATCCAAGATTATTAAATGTAATGATTTGTTGTTGATGTAACCCAGGTTCCCTTTTTACAAGAGGCAATGCCAGGTTCCCAAGTGTTTCAATGGGTTTATTTCATCTTCTGATTAAATAAGGGTTACACACACACACATACAACACATGCTCAAATGTGTGTTTGTTTAAAAACGTATGCATTAGTAGAATATGTGCAAGACATCGTGTGTCGCATCCTAAATATTTTATATGAGCCCATATAATTGAAGAACTGGAAGCTATCCTCGGAGGAAATTGCCACAGAGCTGCATAGCATGTGGAATGAAAGGGAATGGTGATTAAATATTTAACGTGGCTCAGCAACGTCACTCTCGATGAACGATCGCGCGGGGGGTACCGTGCTTTGAGAGAAAGGACACAGCACCGGTTATGTCTGCTCCGTAAACCACTTAGTTTCACAAAAGAGCCCACAGAGTATGCATAGTTCCCATCAACTTTACAAAGTAACGTGACGTGAAAAAAAAGTCACATTTTCAGTGATTTTTCTGTTCAAATCAGCATTTGGGTGATGCCCATCTCCTACTGATTACTGCCCTGAGCCAGTGGTTTGAATTCCACATTCATAAGGGAGGAGCGAGTCTATCCATTGGACAACCACTGTTAACTTCCCCAGACAGTGGGTACTCATTTTATTGGCCCCCAGAAGACTGATGGGCTCGGTTAACCCCCAAACCAGGATTTGAACTCGCAACCTTCTGCCTGCAAGCCGCTCACTCTGCCGCGAAGTGACCTGGCCGGTTACATTTACATACAGGACAAGTGCATATGAAGTGCTTCGTCTTAAGCGTATCATATGCCCATGCGACAATCAAATGCTACGTCAGAATGCAGGTGCAATTGCGCTGCATTCTTTTTTGAGCTGTAATAGATTGACTTGAAGGCATCGGTCATGTTGAGGGTGATATTGAAAGACATTTTGAAATCGTGTCTTAACATTTATTTTTTCTCTCTCCCAGCTCTATCGTGCATGCTAGCTGCCGGACGTGTCATGAACTCAATCATTTTGCTTAATTGTCCGAGGTTGTCGAAGACAGTTTCTCTAAAATGATAATAATGAGGTCTTCCAGCCTGTGTGATAGTGAATCCGCTGGTCTTTGTGATGTGAATGGGTTTCAATGTGTCGCATTAACACTGCTGCCCTGTGTTCCGTCGTCGTCTTCAGCAAGTCACTTTGCGAGCAGTCAAGGGCTCACGAGAATAAAAAAAAACACACACTTGTTCTACATTTGATTTACCGGTTTAAAAATGTTGTGGCTCTGTAGCTTGCTTATGTAACGGTGATAACTATTATTTTAATGTAACCTTTGGCCAGTGCATCCTCTTCGGTTAGTGCCAAGTGGTCAACATCTACACTGGACAGACAATTCTATTTGTGTGTGTGTAGTGCTGGTGATATATACCTACTATAATCACCCAGGAATGTCTGTCCTTAACGCTCATGACGTCACTCCACATCGAACAGCCCCCCTAATTAATAATCATTACAAGGTGACGTCCTCCAAATGGACACCCCCCCCATTAATAATAATTTTCGGCTGACGTCACTCCACATGGGCCGAGGCGACTCCTCCCCCCTCCTCGGCGTCAACTGACAACCCTCACTACTTAGGCAGAACCCTCACGTCACGTGATCTCTGTAACGCTGTTGAGACATCGAAGTAAAAAGGACGTCACGATGAACAAGGGATTATAACCTTTACATGAATTAGGTCTGCGTCACCGCGCCCTTACAAACTGCACACGAATTGATGCAAATAATATCACGTCGCGGTCTGATTTTTGCTCGCAAGTTTCAGATTTACTGCAATACACCCGTCCTTGGACGGGCAAAAGGCTAGTACACATATATTTCATAATAAGGTTCACTGTTTAATATCGATTCTTAATTGTATTTTGTCGTTTTTCAAAGAGTTTCTTCTGAATTGTGTTTTATTACAAATGTTGCCGTTTTTTTTTTGCTGAAATTATTTTAACAACTAGTACGTTAAATTTTGATTTAAAGCTTTCGTGACTGCAGTAATTAATATTCTTAGTTTTTTCGGTAAAGTCACGTTGAAGGGAAACAACAAAATAATAAAATATATATAAAACAATAAAAAAATTCTCACGACGTTTCGACCATAACTCAAACGGTCGTTTCGACCATAACTCAAACGGTCGTCTTCACCTGAAGACGACCGTTTGAGTTATGGTCGAAACGTCGTGAGAATTTTTTATTGTTTTATATATATTTTATTATTTTGTTGTTTCCCTTCAACGTGACTTTACCGAAAAAACTAAGAATATAACTAGTACGTTGACAAAAGTGACTGCTGCGATAGCCAGGTGGCTCAGAGGTCAGAGTGCTGAGCTGGCACCACTGAAGTTCCTGGATTTAAATTGAGGTCTTGGCCATCTGTGATTAAAATTGTGTTCTCAAGTCTCACAGCCTGCTCACCGATAACACAATCGGAATGAAATTGGTTCAACCGAAAAAAGAATGAAGACTGCACTTACGTTAACGGGCCACACCACGTCGTGCCGTATCACAGCAGCATTAATAGGCATTTCTCTAACAGCAGGCAGTCGTCCGTTAAGACTAAACGGTGGGGGATGTCTGTCTTTGTGCCTGCAGACAGAAGAGACAAAGAGGAATGCCTTTCTACCATCCTGGAAGAGCCAGAAGACATGCGAGGTGAGGACAGAACACGCTCTTCGCGGGTCGCAGCACTTTTCTCTGCTTCTTCCCTCGCAATGCGCGACTTTAAAGTTGCCTCCCAATCCGCTGTTTCCCCAAGCTCTTAAAATCTTTCTCAGATGGGGCAGCGAGCCCATTCCCCATCTTTCTATCCCCTGCTTTTCATAGCCCTTTTTGCTTATGTTGACGGTGTGTTTACGTATTGACTTAAAACTTTCGTGACTGCAGGAATTCATATTCTGTGGTTCTTTCGGTAAAGTCACGTAGATTTGAAAAATAATAATAGAAATAAAGTGAATGCAAATATCACGGTGTGTTTACGTGCGTCACAACGTGGTGTATCGGGGCCGCAAATTGCCTAAAAAAACCTTGCTCAGCTCAAGAAACATGTTACAGCTTTACCTAAAGTACACATTTGACGGTGCTGTTTGTTTCCGGCCTCTCAATTGTTTTTGGACCTTTTTGGGCCTCTGCTCAAACTGTGTGAAGTAAAAAAAAAGCCCCACATCGTTCCCACTAATCGGCTTGTTCAGTATATCCGCCGCTTCTCCCCTTCTAGCCACCGACCCGCAGCTCGACCAAGGGCTTTCCTTTATTAGGGAAAGGCGATTGTAATGTGTTGTCATCATGCGTGCCATACGTCAGCACTCTACCCCTATTAGATAGCCTTGCGTAATTCCTACGTTGCCTTGTGCCGTGAACTTTCCCACTTTAAATTCGTGGCATCATAGCGGGGTGATGTCATGAACTCAATTAATTGTTTAATTGCCTTTTGATGGTTTACATGGTTTTGAACAAAGTGGCTCTAATCAATGTTTTGTCCGCATGGAAATGAGTTTTGGCAGTTCCTGTCCAATCCATTTAAACATCGGAATATGATTTTCTATAATTTATATCATCGCCAACTCACACTGAAATTTTACTCGGCCTGCCATTTGTACAGGATTGATAAAATGGATACCACTTTGTGGTAAGTCACTAGTGCAGTGGCTCTTCTGTGGATGGATTGGGTCATACCATATCAATGTGGAGTTTCCAGCACTTTGCTTCCATTGGAAATCAACACGGCCAAATCCCCATTTGGGCATTGCTGCTTCCTTCACGATGGAGAACTTAGTGGACAATCATACGTTATCACGAATAATAATATTGCAAATCATTTTCAAACATGGGCTATTGCGAAGTGTGTTAATCACTCCGCCCCTGGCCCACCCTATGCCACGTTAATTGATAGAACTAGGAATGTCTCCCGAGAGAAAACTTGCCACATTTGAAGTGACGGGTCATGAGCCCTGTTGTAGACATGCTCGCGTGCGCACATCCAATGTTTTTAGGATTTCTGGAGGACTACGACTAAATTCATGCACATTCTACTTCATTGTTATTTCAGTGTTTATTTTAAACGTTCATGCTGAGCCATGGCTTGCCATAGCCAAGCCCATTTTCTACATGGCCTGGGGGAAATGTAAAAAAATACGGGCAAGTTTGTGAGCCCATGCCACCTTGATGCCAAAAAGCGGCATGAGATCCTTTATGTACTACAGTGCTCTGGCAATAAATGCTAAAGTGGTCATGCTTTGATATTGCAAGGTGATGGCCTATCAGTCCGTTGTCTTCATAAATGCCTCTGAGTAATAATGTTCTTATAGCAGTGGAGAGAAAATGAACGGGACTCCAGCTGGTTGACAAAACGTTTTATTTTTTAAATAGCAGCATATTGGCAAGTTTAATTTGGAATTCTGAGAACTAAAGTGATATTTGTGATGAGTAACTCTGCATGTGTGAGGACCTATGCAGTATGGATGATAGCATTTTTAATGACCTGCCAGACCTGAATAAATTAATTATCAGCTGTGAAGATCAATGAGCGTTTAGATTTGATTCTGGACACGTGGGACCTCATCTGTCCTCCTAAAACGCAGACAGCTCGGCAAAGCTGTCTGCTGAGAATTGTATCTCTTCATGAATGTTCTCCGTGTGCTGTTCTGGCCCGAGTCACACGTCCAGCTTTAATGTGAGAATCCAGTCCATGGTACAAGAAACTCCGACAACGAGAGCGACGATTACAGTATGAATCCACAGGAAAATTCACAGAAAATGATCACCCTATCCCTCTCTATATTATCCTTTGTAGTGCTAAAAACAACAAAATATATATTAAAAAAAAACATGTTATTAAAGTTACAAATTTATTTATACGTTTTTACAGACTAACACTTATAACCCAATGCCCCACGTTAGTTTAGCTGCCAGTATTCTTTAGAAAAGTGTTCCAATGTTTTGAGCAATTTCCTGCCTTCAGAGTTATATACAGTGAGGGAAAAAATACTTGATCCCCTGCTGATTTTGTACGTTTGCCCACTGACAAAGAAATGATCAGTCTATAATTTGAATGGTAGGTTTATTTGAACAGTGAGAGACAGAATAACAACAAAATCCAGAAAAACGCATGTCAAAAATGTTATAAATTGATTTGTATTTTAATAAGGGAAATAAGTATTTGACCCCTCTGTAAAACATGACTTAGTACTTGGTGGCAAAACCCTTGTTGGCAATCACAGAGGTCAGACGTTTATTGTAGTCGGCCACCAGGTTTGCACACATCTCAGGAGGGATTTTGTTCCACTCCTCTTTGCAGTTCTTCTCCAAGTCATTAAGGTTTCGAGGCTGACGTTTGGCAACTCGAACCTTCAGCTCCCTCCACAGATTTTCTTTGGGATTAAGGTCTGGAGACTGGCTAGGCCACTCCAGGACCTGAATGTTCTTCTTCTTGAGCCAATCCTTTGTTGCCTTGGCCGTGTGTTTTGGGTCATTGTCATGCTGGAATACCCATCCACGACCCATTTTCAATGCCCTGGCTGAGGGAAGGAAGTTCTAAACCAAGATTTGACGGTACATGGCCCCGTCCATCGTCACTGATACGGTGATGGTGTCCTGTCCCCTTAGCAGAAAAACACCCCCAAAGCATAATGTTTCCACCTCCATGTTTGACGCTGGGGATGGTGTTCTTGGGGTCATAGGCAGCATTCCTCCTCCTGCAAATACGGCGAGTTGAGTTGATGCCAAAGAGCTCCATTTTGGTCTCATCTGACCACAAAACTTTCACCCAGTTGTCCTCTGAATCATTCAGATGTTCATCGGCATACTTCAGACGGGCATGTATATGTGCTTTCTTGAGCAAGGGGACCTTGCGGGCGCTGCAGGATTTCAGTCCTTCATGGCGTAGTGTGTTACCAATTGTTTTCTTGGTGACTATGGTCCCAGCTGCCTTGAGATCATTGACAAGATCCTCCCGTGTAGTTCTGGGCTGATTCCTCACCGTTCTCATGATTATTGCAACTCCACGAGGTGAGATCTTGCATGGAGCCCCAGGCCGAGGGAGATTGACAGTTCTTTTGTGTTTCTTCCATTTGCGAATAATCGCACCAACTGTTGTCACCTTCTCACCAAGCTGCTTGCCAATGGTCTTGTACTCCATTCCAGCCTTGTGTAGGTCTACAATCTTGTCCCTGACATCCTTGGAGAGCTCTTTGGTCTTGGCCATGGTGGAGAGATTGGGATTTGATTGATTGCTTCTGTGGACAGGTGCCTTTTATACAGGTAACAAGCTGAGATTAGGAGCACTTCCTTGAAGACTGTGCTCCTAATCTCAGCTCGTTACCTGTATAAAAGACATCTGGGAGCCAGACATCTTTCTGATTAAGAGGGGGTCATATACTTATTTCCCTCATTAAAATGCAAAACAATTTATAACATTTTTGACATGCGTTTTTCTGGATTTTTGTTGTTATTCTGTCTCTCACTGTTCAAATAAATCTACCATTAAAATTATAGACTGATCATTTCTTTGTCAGTGGGCAAACGTACAAAATAAGCAGGGGATCAAATACTTTTCCCCCCTCACTGTATAGGATCGTGGGCTCAATATCGTCTGTTGCAATAGCCTCATGATGTTTTCAAGGCTCGTCAAGGGTTTGCTCACAGGAGGGGATGAGAGCGAGGGGCTATCTCCCTTAACGGAGTACAATTGGTTTTATTGAACGGATTACATCTGGGATATGTCAAGTCCGGCCCGGCTTGGGTCACTGGTAGAGCGGCGAGAGCGTGACGGGAATCGCAGTGAAGGGAGGTCCCCGAATCGCCCAGCACCACAAGCCAGGACGCATCACCCCTAGCGCACGATGCGGTCGCCACATCGCGCGCTTCCAGACGCGCTTCTGCGGCCGTCTGGAACGCTCTTCCTTCCGATATTCGGAAGCCGCTGGAGCTATGCGCTATTAAATCATCTATATTGACAACTCTTTTCTTGAGAACTGCTTCTTGTTTTTAAGTTTGTTAACCCCCCCCCCCCCATGCACCTTCGATCAGCACGGTCGGCTATGTACGGTGCGAAAGAAGTTCAACGTACACACAGTACATACATCGCTTGACCCGTTCTGACCACGGCACATGGCTCCTTTCACCCTCCCCACCGTCCCTGCTGCTGCCACTGCTGTTTGCTACTGCTGCTCGCAAATGCCATCGCTCCTCCGCGGGATGACCCCGGGCAGGCTACTCGCAGGATGGAGAGGCTGGGACAGCTCGCAGCCAAGCTCAGGAAGACAGCTCAGGTAAAGGCAATTTACACTGAATAATAATAAAATACACGTGACATTCACACCGTTCTTATATCTCAAGGTTAGCATGAAGGCGCTGTGTTTCACAGACGAATATAGTCTGCCAGTTGGGGGCGATGTCGCCACGTGTGTTTACTTTGCGGGTACATTTTCTTTTTTGGACCATGATGCCGGCACACGTGGGCCTACTTAATTTTTTCCTCATAGCATCACGTGATCTTTTGACGTCCCCTCTAATGCAGACGGCACGTATTATTGGGTCAATGAGCCGCAGTATTAATCGGGGCGGCCGCCGAGCTCGAACCCGCGAACCTCTGCAACAAGCGGCGGATGTGCCGCCCCCACAACTTGCCTGCTTTGTGTCCAGGGTGGCGGGGCGTCGGTGAGTGGAGAGTGCTATGGCAAGGGGGGGGGGGGGCTTTGAGTCTGGATTAGTTTACGTGTGGCTGATGCAGCCTTTGCAAGCATTACAAATGTACAACTTACACTAAGATATTCTGCGTAAAACATCGCCACTGGGAAGACAATGACGACCTGGCGTGGTGTTGGCCACCTACCCCCACGTGTGCCGTGCCAGCCTTCATCGGTGCGACTCGCGAACAGCATTTGCCCCAACAGTCTGTTCGGGCTATACGGGGGATTTTTGTCTTTGTGCATGAGCTTACAACGCTTCTCTAAAACCAAGCAGAAACTCTAGCCCAGATAAGAAGTGGCCAATTGAGCAGCACGTGTGATGCCTTGCAGGAGATCTGAGAAAACAAGTAAGTCGCATATAATGAGTGCAAATCATTTCATATGTAAGTGCATCTCGTTCCTACTGTTAAATACTTCTTTTCACCTGCAGATTAATGCTTGGGTCAACACGCTATTATTTGGTGATTGCATTCATACGTAGCGGGGTTTATTTATTTGTTGTTCCGTGTGCATTCACTGCCTGATTTCGCTCCTGTTATCAAGCTTATTTTTAGACCACTTAACACCCGCATTCGTGGCACTCATGGACCGGTACAGCACAGGTGAGAAAAGTGTAATTACTGCCTGTGCGAGATAACACTGCATACATTTTTTTTAATTCCCCACCGAACTCAGGATTTCCGTTCGTTATTTCGATTCGTGTCATGGATAAGTCAACGAGTAGACACATTATTCGACCTGTTTGGTGTTGACACTGAGCATGGCATATTTATTTATTTTATTTCCCATAATGCTCCACTGTATTGCTCAGGTGAGTTATGTTGTTAACAATGTCCATGAGTTGTAAAGTATATTTTTTCTGGAGGGTCTTGCTTGGAATATTTGGTCCGTTTCTCGTAGGAGGACACTGGAGCGTCCACCGATAACGCTCGTAAATCCACACATACCGGTCATGAACCTCGTCACTACACTGCCACCTGGTGGCCACGTCATAGCCTTGGAGATTAGGAATCCCTCAAGCTCTCAATGATCTCTTAACCGCCAACTGCACCTCCTGATCACTGTATTTTCAGGCGTGTGCCACCACGCCCGAATAAACGATCTTCTCTGATTACACATTCGAACATCATTCAGCAGATCTCTTCCCGAGCACCGAACTGACCTGTTGCTTATTTGACCACTTCCCAAGTGGACTGGAATTACTGTTCAGCCTTGAGAAGCATCGGATGCCTACCTACTAACACGCTTTTGTCGTCGTGCGTTCCTGCGACTTGAGTATTTTGCTGGTTTTTTCATGGATTTTCTGTTTGCACAGTCACATAGAAAGATGTTTTCTTGTTCGTGTTTTTAGTTTGTTGTGGTTGCACCCGATTCAAGAGCCGAATGGCTCACAGGGCTATACCAAATAAATGAACTAGAAATAAAATAAACTGGAAACTGGAGTGTCGATCATAGATCGGTGTCGCCACCCGCAGGACTCTTCGTCCTCTTAAACATTCGCTATTCCCTCTGGGCTCACGGGAGCCCTGTGCACAGACGGCATTTGCGACGGGCACCGAGTGTCTGTCCCCGTGTCACCTGTCTCTTGGTGGCTTAGGGCAAGGCAAGAGAGGGATGGTATGTGACTGAACGACGTAGCCAAATTTAGCTTTTTTTGCCCGTCCGAGGTTGTTGTTATTGTTGTTGTCATGTGAGAACGTTGCGTGCTCTGGCCACTGTGGTGTGCCTATGCCGACCTGCTCGCTCGCATGGGCTCAGTGGGATTGCCTTGGGGCTTTATGCGTTCGGCTCCGTGGAATTCTGATGTCTTGCCGATGTGGTGACCTGCAGAGCGGAGGTGAGCGGGATGTGGGGGAGGGCGGATTGAGGGCTGGCGCTGGTCACAGCCTTTGAGCTTAATAACCAGTCTCGCTTGAGCCCCCGACGAAGCGGGCTGGCTAGAAATCTGCGGAAGCTGTAAGCGCCATATGTGACATGAACCCTTTCCCGTTCTGAGATGTCTGCAAGTTGCAGGGTGGGTTCCGTTCACCGCTGAATCTCGGAACACGCAAGCGGTTAGCGCAGCGCCATGGTTTTAAAGACATTGTACTCACCACAGAGAACTGTAGCGACACGACCACATTCTATTATAGCTGGTGCCAAACTGTGCCACACGCCCTCTCCACATGGCCTTGTGGGAGCCTCGGAACTGCTAAAGTAATTTGAGTTATTTGAGTTTTTTTTCCCCAATTCCATTCCGATCACATACACGTACGTCATCGGAACAGAATTGGAAGAAAATCTGATGGCGTACAAGTCATCGGAATGGGAAAGGGTTAAGGGAAGCTCTATGTTCAGCGCCCCGTGAGTTTTCCAGCCAGTCTGATCAAACAGTCAAGTCAGAGTGTCTCTTGGAGCTGCAAGGAAAACCCCATGGGATGGTACCACTAATTTGTTTTGGCAGCTTTCTAGCCCATTGATGGGCATTGTACATTATACATTCCATTGGCAGGGTATAGTTGTCATGAGAATGATTAGAAAAAAGTCAATAATTATCATGCTTCGTTTACCTAGAAAAGCCATGCTGGGCCTCAAGGCCTCTTTGAGCAGTTCGTGATGTTACGTGATGATATTGGACTACGCAGAGGAAACCCGTGCATATGAGACGATCACAAGGCTCTGCACAGATATAGAGGCAATTAACCTGCTGTACTGCTTCCCACAGGCACCTTGTTGCCCTGTAGTTGGTTATCTGTCGTGCATTATGTGATGTTGATTCACTATTCCGTCTTCAGGTGGCTGCATTGCAGGCAGGGGCGGAGCCAGGATTTTAACTTTTGGGGGGGGGGGGGCTGACTTCAATATTCTGAGATATCCAGTGTTTATGTTTTCCAATGGGCGCCACAAATGTATAAAACAAATTTTATTGGATTTGAACGCGGAGTTTATTAATAGGTGGGAGCCGCTGATGTGGCTAATAAGTTCCATAAGTTCGAAAGGCTGCCGCTCAAGCAGCCTGCAGGGCAGCGCACAAGGTGGCAGCCTGCAGGGCAGCACGAGGTGGCAGCCTGCAGGGCAGCACACAAGGTGGCAGCCTGCAGGGCAGCACACAAGGTGGCAGCCTGCAGGGCAGCACAAGGTGACAGCCAGCAGGGCAGCACAAGGTGGCAGCCTGCAGGGCAGCACAAGGTGGCAGCCTGCAGCATTTTGCAGCAGCCGGATATCCGGTTATCTCGATTACCGACTTTCCCAAAATTTCAGGGGGGGTTGGGCCCCCCCCCCCAACCGCCCCTGTGGCTCCGCCCCTGATGGCAGGAATACCCAGACCGAGTATAATTAATCAAAAAGGGTTCTGGCCTAACATCTCAAAGAAATCGTTGTCATCAGCCATATTATATCCATTGCTGGATGAAGTCTTCCCCACGTCGAATCGTGATGCGACGATCCACCTCACTCGAGTTTATCTCACCGCTCCATCTCCACAGCGGTGGAACTCTCGTGCGAGTGTACGCTCCCTGCTTTGTAGTGTGGGAGTGGTGGCACAGTGGTTAGCGCTACGCTGCGCTACGAAGCTAGCGACCCGAGGTTCGATTCCCGCTCACGGCCAACACCAGTGACGATTATCTGAACCGGTTCTGAGCCTTCCCGAGGTCGATTCGGCCTCAAATGAGTACCCGGTGCGATGTGTAAACATCGCCACTGGGTAGACAAAGGCGGCCGCGCGTGGTGCTGATCACCCAAACCCCTTCGTGTGCCTTGCCGACCTTCATAGGCGCCGTTCGCTTAACAACACTTGCCCCAGAAAATATTGCAATGCCATGCGAGATAGCATCACCAGTCTCCATCCATGAGCGATTATCGCCTCCTCGTGAGGTGTTTCGCCCAAGCCCACTTTCCGTGGCAGACAAGATGATGTCCCCGGCGGGTGTTTGTTTGCTGATCCACGTTTTTTTCCTGCGTCTGTCTCGCAGTGCCGTTCCAACCGTGCACCACTCCATGCTTTGTGTTTTGCCTGCCGTTTTCAGTGCTCGTTCCGTTCTGCTGAAGCACGTCATACCATTAGCAAGCAACGTGCACTAATTGAAACGCATTTCTAGCCATCCACATTGTTACTTCGCTTCTCGTTGTCAAATGCCGTTTTCCCGAAGGCACTCCATCCTCGCTGTCACATGCCGCCTCTATAGGTGTACACATACTACTGCTGCTGTGCGTTTCAGTTTTGTCCCTCTTGACTATTTTGTTCAGTTTTTTTCTCAAGCAAAGCAATAATCTCTTTAAAAAAAAAGTCTTGATCCTTAGTGAGACTGGCCTGGGTAAATAAAAAGCACCTCCGATTAGTACGGTTGGCTACGTACGGTGCTCGACGTTCAACAGACATACATAAAACCATTATTATGCACTGTCACTTGTAAGACCACGCAGGGAGTGTAGGATTATAGTGTACTGTTCAATAGGCGTCCAGTGATTATCCCATTTTAGCATTTGATTGTCACGATTCGGGGGGAGGGGTCGTGGTTCCATTCAGCGGTCGATTCTCATTTGGCACAATGGTAACTCATTGGATTCTGCAACGAGTGATGTACCTCTGCGTAGTCACATGC